CTCTCTCTCTCTCTCTCTCTCTCTCTCTCTCTCTCTCTCTCTCTCTCTCTCCTAGAGGTGTTACCAGAGAGTACTCTAGCAGCAACATACAAAGATAAAAAGATGGAGAGATGAGGACGATATATTTTTAACATAATAAGATTACATTTGTGTATGTTATACATTACAGGAAAGTAGGAGTAAACTACACCAGAGCAAACCCTGAATCACCCACACGGATTCCTTGTATTTATAATGCTCATGTTACACACGCAAAAAGTGGAGACATCTTAATTCAGTATTATTATTATTTGAACGAAAGGAGCCGATATTGGTAATAAATACAATCTGGGAAGGGGTTTGGGGGGGAGGGGGGTGATTCGGGGAAATTTCGATAACGAGCAAAAGAATGTGACACTTTACATTGTGTCTTCTGTAATTCCCAGTATTCCTCGTATCTCACTTGTTTGAGAGTTCACGGGGTGTGTACGTCTACGTTTTTACGTTTCTTTTTGGTTGTTGTTTTCTTTTTGTTGTGTGATGTGTATGTGTGTGTAAGGGGGGGGGGGGGAGTCTGTGTATGTTGTCCTGCCTATAGTATACGTGGGCGCAGGCGAACTACTATGTTAGTGAAAAAATACTCAAACGACGGAATCACTTTTATCTTGCTTCTGAGATATTGTTGGCTTAGTTTAAAGCTCAAATGGGGATGGTCTGAATGTATAAATAAAATGGAAAACGTTTGGAGAGGTGATGGATACTTTTTACTGTTATTTAAGTGCCAGGCCCCTTTCCTAAAGCCCATCAATGCGGACTGGGGATGTTTGTAGAAACAGTTCAAGCAGTATTCTATCGGAAAGACAGCGAGCTAATAGAGTGTTTTCGTTTTAGTAGAGGTTTTTCTGAGCTCGCAACTGCATAAGGTCATATGAGCGCTATCTAATAGAGTGTTAAGAACAGAGCTGTTAAGTATAGAGCTCAAATATAATATTTTTAAAAATCCAGGAAAGAATCGAACCTATGTGTACGTGTGTGACTGTGACTTAGCCTCAAGCTTATACATAGACGTTGATGCGCATGTCTGTGAACATTTAAAGGCTTGCGTGGAGTGTCGTAAGGGTGGTGCGGGTGAAGACCCGGGTTCGATTCCCAAGTGTGGAGGAAACTTTTATCGAGTATCTCAGTCTTTCTGCTGGGGTGATCCTTACAGGCAGAGTCGGAGGCCCGCCTCCTAAATGGCCTAAACCATGTCTATGGGGGCGTAAAAAAATACCACTTATAATATATTCAAAATTAAGAATCGTATACATGAAATGCACACACGTAGCGATGTACTCACCTGAGGAAGGTCGGTCCGAGTACCTGGTACAGAACACCCATGCCGGCCATAACGCGTTCTCGCCCTTTTTCTCTGACGTCGCATCATCAGACGACGACTTCCCGTCCTGGTCCCTGGGACTGGCGGGAGTTGTCTTCTCCTGCTTCAGAACGGGTACCGCTTGTGAGTCAGGACGAGACTGCACACCTGGGGTTTTTGGCGGGTTTTTCTTTGGCGTTCCGTCAACTTTAGCGTCTTTTATTAATTTGGGATCACTTTGATGCTCAGTTTTGTTTTCACGAGTGACCGTGATGTTATTGTTAACGCTGTGGATTTTCCCGCTGCTGAGAATAGGCTTCGTTTGCTGATTGGGATTGGTGACTTTCTCGTTACCGCTGTGTGGGTGTGGGGATTTGTTCGTTGTGTCTTTTCTGGTGGTGTTCTGGGTCATGTGAAGAGGGTGAGGGGGAGGATGCTGTAGGTGGTGGTTGTTGTTGTGGTGGTGGTGGTTTACCGGATGAGGAGAGATTTGTTCTTTGGCGACTTTGCTTAACTGGACAATAGGGTGGGGAGAGTTTTGTGTGTGCTGATGAAGATGATGATGAACCCGGTTTGGCGTTAAAACAGAGTCTAAGCGTGGCACGATGTGCTCAGTCGCAGCCAGTTTAGCTGCTGCTGCTGCTGCTGCTGCTGCTGCTGTTGTTGCTGGTGGTTGTGGTGGGGGTGGCGGTGCTTGCGAATGATACAGATGTTTCAGGAAGTCTTTTCTGGGGAAGATGTTGTGTTGTCTGAGAGCCAGGGTTGGGTTCGTGTAGATGAAAGGGAAGTGGTTGAGAGAATCAGTTGTCGGGTGGAGGTTTACAAAGGGGAACTGTCGAACCACCAGTTTTTCTATGTCTGTGTTTGGGTACATAGACGAAGGGAAGAGAAAGTTCTCTTGGCCGAGTACGGCTGTCCTGTCTAGCTTGCTGGGAATGGTATCGTACGAGGAGATAGGGGAGTGTGGGGAGTGCGATGAGAGGGGAGGGGAGGGGGAGGAGGAGGAGAGAGGGGACGATGACGGAGGGGAGGAGGAGCCCGCGCGAGCCCGTGTTGTACGAAGATCGACGGCGGTAAAGGCGGAGTTGGACGACCTGACCAGATTGTGATTGGTCGAGATCTGTGTGTGGGCGGGGCTTGTGCTGCCTTCCCTGTCATCAGGTGGAGTGTCGGAGTCTGAGTGGCAGGATTGTGCAACTCCGAAGTCCGGTCTCAAAATGGCGTCGATGGAAAAGTTTGTCTTTCTCTCTGGGATATTTTTTCTGGGACTATTACGTTTCGAGTCACAATTTTCAACATTATCACTTGTTTTGCTTTCGTCAGTCGCTTCCTTGAACTCGTATTTGCCGTGTGAAAGTGTGCAGAGGGCGTGGTTAGAGGCGTGGTTCGACAAGTTATCACTGCTGACGTCACCAGGCCGACAGGCACAAGCCCCGTCCCCGTTTGCTGTGCTCAGATTTAGAGGGGAACTCGGGGGCGTGTCCGCCTCGATGTCGACATAACATGAGCCGGGGGACTTGATCTCCTCAACCGCTGACTCCTCCCCTTTCAGATCAGACTCTTCCTCCTTCAGAACCGACCCTTCCTTTCTATCGCATTCATTCCCATCTTCACTCTGTACAGATAGTCTTTCCTGCTCTCGCTCTCCGTTCGGCGTCTTTTCCTGTCCTCGAAGAACTCCGGAGCTCACAAGATCTTCACCGACAACTGGGCCAGGAGAAGCGTTATTGTTGTTCTGACTGCTAACCGACCTAGCCAAAATTGGGGATTTCCTCTCCCTGAGACCCGAGAGTGGGGATTCCCCTTCTCTAGTAAGCCGGAGCGGGGATTCCCATTCTCTAGCAAGCCGGATTGGGGATTCCCCTTTTCTATGGCCAAGAAGACATGGTCTTGTCTCTCGATCATCCGGTAACGCCTCAATTGAAGACGGGGCCTCACACCTCACTACCCCATCACTCACAGCTTTCCGACTTACATGCGTGACGCTCAAACCCTGGCAGCAATGCTCACTTCTAGAGCCACGAGTCGGTGACCAGGCTGCTGGACATTCTGTGACGTCAGACGTAGGGCTCTGATTCCCGCCTTTCGCAGTACCTTCACGACCAGGACTCCCCACACAACGGTCTGTCAGAAAGTCGGCAGATTTACCGGACTCTGAAACAATGAGATCTCTTGGAAACGACGCACGTTCGATATCATCAGCTGTGTGACTATGAAGTCCCAGTCTCGCTTCTCTAAGCGCCACATCTCTGTTGGTCATCAAGCTGTTGTCTACGTCACAGGTCACGAGTCTGCCTCCGGCAAATAGTTCGTCACGTGATGGAATCTCTGCAGCCTCTCGCTTCACCTTCACATCACCTGCTGCGAAGTCCGATGACGATGACGATATAGACGACGACGAAGATGACAAGGATGAAATTGATGACGGTGAGGTAAGGGGTATGCTCCCGAACCCGCCATCCACACACGCCTTTTTGAAAGGCGACACATCTGCTTCAAGTACGTCGTCTTGCGTATGGGTCCTTTTCCCGTAACTCACACACGACGTGGCTCTGTCAGCGGCACGGGACACAAAGGCCTCAAGGGGCGACGACATGCACAAGGTCTCCATCTCAGGGTGAGCACTCTACCAAGGTGACCACCCCGGCTGAGCAAGTCTGTTTGTCAGTGGTGCTGAAAGGTTTCGCCGATCTGTCACGAATAATGATGCATCCTCAGCCGGGAAGAGGAACAAAGAAATCTGCTCGAAGATCTGTTGGGAGGGAGAGAGAGAGAGAGAGAGAGAGAGAGAGAGAGAGAGAGAGAGAGGGAGGGGGGGGGGGAAGAGAACACACAAGATAAAGTATACACGTATAGAAACAATTTGATCCATCATGCATAACGTAGTGCCATCATTCATGAATCTGTATACATAAATAAAGATAACCTATTAGTCGTGTTTTACTGCATTGTTCATAATTATTCTGCTTCTACTGCTGTTGTTTTAGTGTTGCTGCAGCTGTTGCTGCTGTTGCTATTGTTGCTGCTGCTGTTGTTGTGGTTGCTGTTGTTGTTGCTGCTGCTGTTGTTGTTCATGTGAACAAAGTGTGACTAATAATAAATGGCATAATTTGTAAAAATTACTTTAGAAGAGGGCTGTCACTCAGGGATAATCCATATTGTGTTGGATTCTGGTAGCAAGAAATGGAGACTCAATATAAGTAAGGTACAGAGCTCAATCATTACATAAAAGGTATAGAGACTTCGCTGTCTGTCTTTTGAAAGGATTGTGGTGTGTGGTTTCCATATAGAGTACCAGTTGTTATTTGCTTTTGAGACAATGTGAAAGTATAAAACTTGTATTTTTTTTATATCAGTTTTATTAGGGTGATGAACGTATAATAATTAGACTATTCTTTTTATTTAAAAATAGTTATTATCATTACTATTA